GTTCCTGTTTCCTCCGAAATTGCTCATACTCTGGTTGAACTTATCAGACATTCAGCTGTGGTTTCCTGTGAGACAGCTCAAAACAAAGCAGGACTGCACACACACACAGTTATATGAAATGGTTAATACGAAATAGTAGACAATATGAGATAACTTATGTACAATTATTCTATCATTTCACCTCAGCAGTCGCTGCATGATGAAAGATGAAGTCAGGTGTACAGAGAGTTAAATCAACACAAACTGGTTAGTTACGATGTAACAGTAAACTGCAGGTGAATCACAAAAAACAAAGGTGCATGCAAAAATGCATCAGGGTGTTTTGGGGGGAATATTTCAGTCCATTTTGAAAATGCATCAACTATGACTAGGCAATACTTTTTCCCTTCACTTTGGTTATACTCTATAAAGTCCATATGGATTACTTGAAACGGATATTGAGCTGTGGGGAAACGGCCCCTTCGTGGTCTTAAGTTTCCTGTGGATTATGTTTAGCACATGTTAAACATGCCCCACAAAAATTTTTTGAATAAGAGTTAAAACCATATGTGGTAATATTGATGTATCTGTCCTACCATCCCTCTGTTGAGACATGTGTTACACCATGGCTCAATATTGCTGCCCATTTGTATAGGTTTTTGGTAGGATGGGTTTGTTTTCCGGTCACACGTATGTGTCATTTTGTAGCGTCGCACCGTTTTTTATCCATGTGTCTTTTTCTTGTTGCGTGCTTTGTTGTTGCATATCTGTTAACGTATTATTGTCTATGTTAGCGTCTTCCTCTAAAGATAGCACATCTAACTGTCTTCAGCGGCTGCTTTTGCTGTTTTGTCCGCGAACGCATTTCCCAGGGATACTTCGTTCGTCCCTGAGGTGTGTGCCGCACATTTACATATTGCCAACGTTTTAGGTAACTGCACTGCTTGAATAGCTCTTTCAGCAAGGTTGCATGTGTTACTGGTTTTCCAGTCGAGGTAACCATTCCTCTATTTTTCCAATATTGTGCAAAGGTATGAACTGTAGCAAACGCATATTGGCTATCAGTATAAATAGTTGCATCTTTATTTGTCATCAGTTTACAAGCTTCAGTCAGTGCTATAAGCTCAGCAGCTTGTGCTGAGAGATGTGAGGGTAGCTGTCTTGCTTTTAACACCTCAGTCTGAGTCACCACTGCATATCCGGCTCGAAGTATCAAGTAAATGTCAGGTTTATCAACCAGTGACATTCAGAATACTAGACAAAAGAGAACAAGACACAGTGTTAGATTGTTTCTTGCAAGGAGAACGGACAGAGATATGCTCAGTTACAATCTCCAACCGCTCTGAAGCATACTCCGCCGAACCCTTTCTTTTTTATTATCTTTGGCATTCCCTAGTTACATGCATGTTGTGCTCTAAAGGGCAGGGGTCACACAGCGGCAACATGAAGTGCGCTTAAAACATAGCATAAACGTGCATCAACTTGCAATGTATGAAGTGAAACCAGCCTAGACTGGGTTCACCTTGAGTGCACTTCCTGTTTCCTCCGAAATAGCTCATACTCTGGTTGACTTATCAGCCATACTAGGCATACTAGGTTTAAGCTGGTCTTTGTAGCATAACGCGACTTTGAACTGGGGTCTCTACCGTTGGAATGAGCCCATAAGGATACGGTGAGGCAGACAGTGGTTGTCGTATTGTAGCTCAACACCAGACCTTGACTATTTTTGCTATATACTGAACTTTTTCCTAGTTTCTGCAGCGGAATCTAGTGACCAACTGGACCAGTCATGTCCAGTTTCACCAATCAGTGATCCCCATCCTGTTCCTGTGGTAGCATACCAGTTGTAGGCCTCAACCCAACTCTGCCCCTTAGAACCAGCATTATTGGTGAGTGAGCCATAATTTATTTTGCCGTGGTTTGATTTGTTGGCGCGCAGAAAACTAAGCCAGTATGTTTTGTCTGTATGTCTTCTCCGCATTCTGAATCTGTGCTACGTCTGTGCCTTTCATGAGTTATATTTTGCTGAGTTGTATTAGGAGTTCTATTTCTATTTAATCCTTCTTTTGGTGGTTCCCATAACCACATGAACAGAAAGGTTACAATTAGGAAAAGCGTCACCATCCAACCTAGGATGGCGTTCCTTAACCCTTTGGAGTCATTGCTGCTGAAATGTTTCCTCCTCTACTGGGTTCGGTGTCTTATAAACTCTTCACTGACTTTCGGGTCTATCCAGCCTCTACACGTCTGGATCCACCCTATTAATCAGTCTTTGGCTCACCTCCCCTATCGGAGTTTTCAACCGAAATGACCTTTTTACAATGGGTCAGATGAACCAAGTTGATCTTTCTGCTATTTTTACCGCAGTGGAGTTGTTAGCAATACCTGATAGGGACCTTCCCACTTAGGTGAATGCCAGTGTTTCTTCTTTATGCTTTTTATTAGCACCCAGTCTCCTGGTTCAACTAGCTGGATTACCTGTTGGGAGACAGAAGGATTCTCATCAGCAAGTTTTTGTTTCTGTTTTTCTAATATTTTTCTCATGTAGTCTGCTAAGTTAGCTTCCTCATCTATTTCCCACTGATTCTATAATTGAGCAGCCTATAGGGTCTGCCAAACAGGGTTTCGTATGGAGTTAACCCCGAAGTAGATGTAATGTTTATGTAGAGCTTAACTAAGTTTCGTTTTCCTCAATGCACTTCCTTAATCTATTTTATTGTAGTTCTGTTTGTTCGTTCCACTAGACCTGCACTTTGTGGATGGTAAGCACAGTGATTTTTTTAAGTTTATATTGAAACTTGTTCCGACCTTTTTTGACAATTTGATTGACAAAATGAGTCCCGTTATCACTATATTATTCTCTCAGGGATCCCATACCTTGGTATGATATCCTTGCACAACGCTTTAGCCACCGTTAGTGCATCAGGGTGTTTTGTGGGGAATATTTCAGTCCATTTTGAAAACGCATCAACTATGACTAGGCAATACTTTTTCCCTTCACTTTGGTGTTTAACTCTATAAAGTCCATATGGATACTTGAAACGATATTGAGCTGTGGGGAAACGGCCCTTTCGTGGTCTTAAGTTTCCCTGTGGATTATGTTTAGCACATGTTAAACATGCGCCCACAAAAATTTTTTTAATAGAGTTAAAACCATATGTGGTAAATATTGATGTATCTGTCCTACCATCCCTCCGTGTTGAGACATGTGTTTACACCATGGCTCAATATTTGTGCCCATTTGTATAGGTTTTTTTGTAGATGGGTTTGTTTTCCGGTCACACGTATGTGTCATTTTGTAGCGTTGCACCGTTTTTTATCCATGTGTCTTTTTCTTGTTGCTGCTTTGTTGTTGCATATCTGTTAACGTATTATTGTCTATGTTAGCGTCTTCCTCTAAAGATAGCACATCTAGCTGTCTTCAGCGGCTGCTTTTGCTGTTTTGTCCGCGAACGCATTTGCCCAGGATACTTCGTTCGTCCCTGAGGTTGCACTGACGATGTGCGCAGGCATTATCAGTCGCCATTACGTCTTTACTTTTGGGTTGAACTGCATCTGTTATGTAATAGCTCTCCCTACGAGCAACCGTTTCAGTGTTGTTTATTTACTTAGTAATATCGCAGTGCACTCAAGATGAACCCAGTCTAGGCTCGTTTCACTTCATACATTGCAAAGGTTGATGCACGTTTATGCTAATGTTTTAAGCGCACTTCATGTTGCCGCTGTGTGACCCCTGCCCTTTAGAGCAGCAACATGCATGTAACTAGGGAATGCCTAAAGATAATAAAAAGAAAGGGTTCGGCGGAGTATGCTTCAGAGCGGTTGGAGATTGTAACTGAGCATATCTCTGTCCGTTCTCCTTGCAAGAAACAACTCTAACACTGTGTCTTGTTCTCTTTTGTCTAGTATTCTGAATGTCACTGGTTGGATAAACCTGACATGAAACATATGCAGTTTTTTTTAATCATCTTGTTGGATTTGTGATGATTAAAGGCGTTAAAGGGGTGGGAGTGGAGTATTTTATAGTGATCTAATGAGATCCATTTGCTTTTGAAGTCTTCTGTCTGTCTGTGTTTAACTCAGGCCTCAGCTTGTTAAAACCACCAGCAACTTAGATGATTGCTGTCAGATGGCAGAAGAGGAGTGTACCACAAATTGTCTGAGGCCTGTGACTCATCGACTCTGTTTTGGTGTTTTCTTTGCCAAAACGTACGTTAATCTCTTTATTAATCACTTGTAAGAGACACAAGTGACACTTCACTGAATCGAGGGTGTTGACCCAACTGAGCAGTTATTATCTGAAACGTAACCGTCGTGTGACCAAACCCTGAAGGACAAAACAACAACAAGGAATCAGAAAAGAATTGATTCACTTCCAGTAAAGAAAAATATGTTTAATGTGACAGAAACTCTCTGTTAATGTGCATGTGCAGAATGTGGAACATCATGTAAACAGCAGCACTGTGCACTGCAAGTCATAAAAAAGCAATACAGTGGAATAATTAGGAGCAGGCGCTGGTGTTAGGCTCCTCCCACATGTAGGGACGAGGGAGGAGAGGTGAGGCTCCTGTAAATAAATACCTGCTGCGAGACACCAGAAGGAAACTGTGTCTTTACAGGACATTCCTCCAGACCTTCAGACACTCAGGTGAGAGCCACAGATCTCTGCAGGTAGAGGAGGGTGAGGGTCTTTTCATCATCACCACACTGAGATTATTCGTTATTATTATTATTATTAAGTTTGTTCTTTTTTCCTTGCAGCCTCCACAACCACAGACACCATGACAGGTCAGTGCACTGTTTGCTCAGGAGTTGTTAAAAGGCAGCATCACTGAGGAGATCTGCAGGATTCATACTGACTGTGTTTGTGTGTCAGTGTAACTGCACAGGTCTGCTGTGTCTCAGCATCAGCTAATCATGTCTTTTCATGTCCAGATGCGAGTTTTCAGCAGGAGTTCCTGGAGACCCACAACACCTACAGGGCGAAGCACAGCACCCCTGCCCTGACCCTGAGCAGAGAGCTGACGGCTGCAGCTCAGAAATGGGCCGATCACCTGCTGGCAGCTGGAACCCTGCAGCACAGCACGAAAGGAGAGAACATCTTCACCATGTCCAGCTCAGCTACCATCACACTGACAGGTGGAGTAAACACCCACCCCACCTTCTCTTATCTTTTCGTCATTCTTCTTTAAAACTAAAACTGAGTCATTAATTTTCCATTGATTAAGGTGAAACATTTGAAATAATATTACATTTAATATTATTTGATATCAATGAGCCATAAAACACACTCTTCGTTGATTCATCACAATCAGGGGTTTTTCTGCTGCAGCCTCATTTGTAGCTAACATTCGAGAGTCACTACTGTAACTTTATGACGCTTCTCTACTTCAGGAGTCTTACACTATTTTTTAACATTTACAGTTTCAGAGGCTTTAAAGTATGGAATGCCATCCAGATCAATATTATAAATACGAGTATGAAATAAATCCCAAATAAATTAGGTAATATATGTAGAAATATATAGATACATGTAAATGTAAATTTAAATATGTAAGTGAGTCAATAAATAAATAAATACATACCTATACAAATGAACAAATAAATGATTAGCCTTCTATTTAAAAAATGACCTTTTTACTTATTTCTGAGGACTTTTAGTTCACTGCTGTTTTGGTGCTGTTGCTTTGGTCTGAATCTGTGACATAACACTGGAAATAAAAGTGGAATTATAAAATAAAAGTGCCCTGAAATAAATAAAAATGTAATTTTAAAAAGAAATAGATACTTATTTATTTACTTACTTATTTATTTTTTCATGTATTTATTCATTTATATAGCTACTTGTTTATTATATTATTATTTTATTATTGTTATATATTTCTACATTTATTACCTAATTTCATAGCTCTATTATTATTTATTAGTGCTTTACATGGTATTCTATTTTAAAGGAACCATTTTGCACTTCAAATGATTTTTTATTTCTCTGTCATTGCAGTTTGATCTTCTTTGCATTCACCCACTGAGCCAAACAAGTAGCTCTGTTCAGGCTATAAAACAACTGCCAATGCAAATGTTCATACTGTGTTCACACTGTGTGTTTTCTTCTCTCAGGGAAAGAAGCTGTGGATTCATGGTACAGTGAGATCAAGGATTATAACTGGGACCAGCCTGGATACAGTAGAGAAACTGGTAAAACACACCACACATGATCAGTACTGAAGTGTGATCCTAAAACATTCATCACTTCATGATAAAACCATGAGAAAAAATGAAGATTCTACTTTATGTTCAGTGGGAAAGTTAAAAACAGCTTCATTTCGACCTTATGGTGCAAATTCTAAGAATTTCGTTTAATGTAGTTTTGGATGTAGGTTCATAATGTGATGCATTTGCTGAAAGGTAGAAACGACTTTGACACTTCTGTGTTTCCTCCTGCAGGTCACTTCACTCAGGTGGTGTGGAAAGACAGCACTGAACTGGGCGTGGGCATGGCCACTGATGGCAAAACGGCCTTTGTCGTCGGGCAGTATCGGCCTGTTGGCAACATGAACATGGCAGGATACTTTGAGAAAAACGTCCTCAAACTAGGTAACACCTTACCACAGCTTAGTATGTTCTATTGTCTAAACTGAAGATTACAGCTGCAGAACACAACTTTAACAACAAGACGTATAAGTTTAAATTCTGAGGACATCCCTGCTTATTACATAGAAAACATGTGATCCACTTCTATAAATAACACATATGTTTCCTAAAAATCCAAATAATATCTGAAATTAGTTCAAATAAGCTCCACAAAATGAATACACAAAATACAATACATATTGTGTGTATGCAAAGGAGGCAGGATAAAGTACTTTCCCTGTTATAACTTTAAGTACATTTTACTAATAATAATATTTAATATTTATTTTCTAGTTATTTGTTTTATATTTAATAATATTTTAGTAATATTTTAAATGCAGTAAGTGGTAAAGAGTCCAAAACTCTGAGACACTTTCCCAGAATACAAAGATAGACATGTTTAAAATTAATGAGAAATTAAGAAAAATGTATATAAACACATAGAATTTTTATCTGTTTGTAGTTTTAATCAACTTGCACATATATTATTTACATATATGGTCACAACATGACAAATGATAAAAAAAAATGTATCATATAGATATTTTTTAATATACTGTATGCACATATACAAATTTTACTGCGGGTATTTCATATATGTTATTAACGTATAATTTATTTTATATATATAATATATCCCCATGTAGGTGACAGACATCACTCTTGACATATGGACATATATGCTATTGTAACAATTACTTCCTAGGCTGCGCACACATACACACTTGCACAGAAATGACAGCTTATCTTTTTCATTTACAACTAAGCCAAAGTAAACACCAGACAAATATGTTGAAGAGGCAGAGCTACCGTTAGCAGGTCAGAAAAGTGTTAATATGTTGCTACTGTTAACCTGGGATGCATGCAATGAGAGTACCTAGTTTATCATTCACGACTTGTGGATCCAAGTCGAGGCTCAAATTCAGTCTTGTTTCCCTAAAAATAGACTTTAATGGACATGTGGTAAAATGTAAGTGAAGGATAAAACTGGTTTATATTTGTGTATGGGACATGCTTCCTGCAGCAGCAGCTGCTGATGCTTCAGCTTCATCACTTTGACATTTTATGTTACACCAACATTTTTCTGTCACTTTTCAGCATAAAGGCTGTGAATTTTACATCTGGACGAACAGATAACACATCTGGAGAGGGAGCTGGAGCAAGCCTGAGGAAAACCTGCGCACTGCTGTAGATGACCCGGACCATCCCGGCAGCCCCCAACTTACTACTTACTTTTTATTTTACATGTACTTTTCATGAAGTTTTTGACATGTCCACACTGGTCCACTCATGTAGGGGGTGTAAGAAAAATAAAGATATACTCAAATAATTCATGACGTGTTACTATATCGATATTTTGAAGCGCTTTATTGATATTTTATCAAAAGTTTCCATGGTGATTAGTTTTGTGACGGTGGTTCTGTGCTGTATTTAAGCCTCCGGCCGCTAACTGGCAGCAGGCGTACAGCCATTTCACTGTCTTCCTCCTTCCACTCCTCTCACTAGACGAAGAGATCTCGCGAGCGTACAGGCTTCGGGAGCAGACAAAGCAAATAAAAATGTTGCATTTTACAAGTTAACATTTATGCAGGTTGAACAGGTGTATGGATAAAGTTTTGGCTTTTTACTTGCACTTACTCACAGTAACTACTACTACTGCCGTGACTCCCGTGTGCGGATGTGTGTGTGCAGCGCTGACACACACACACACACACACACACACACACACACACACACACACACACACACACACAGGGCGGGGGCAGAGAGATTCTGCAGACTAGATGCAGAGTTGGGAGAAAATATGCGTTTTTGTACATGTGCCTGAGGGAATTTCAGTACATACAAAATGATGATGAAATGCCAGCAAAACAATAGACTTAATTAACACAAAATATTATTTGTTGCAAACACACAGAAAATTACATAATTCTATTAGATATGGACTCATTTAGTGAGAAAATGTCACTATAGACTAATGTTTAACACATTTGTAAAGTTTTACTACAACATGATTTGTAGCTAAACCATAACCAGTAATTGTTATGTCCACTTCAGTAGATACATGATTAATTGAAATTTTCTGTTTATACAAAATCAATATTTGACAAATCTATCGACAATATCGTTCCCTAGATGTTACTTATCACCATATTTTTTTTTACCTGCAAGAGTCTTCTATAGAGGGACTGGACAGATATTCCTGAGGTGCTTAGTATACCTAACATTTTGTCGGCCGTCTTGGATGTTGGGTTTTTATCTGCTCTTACATTTGGTTGCAACTAGGTGGCAGTCTATGGAGTTTTCAAGGACTGTCAGCTGAAGTGATTGATATACAATTTCACCATCCAAACCCAGGCATATGCAAGAAATTGGTTTTTGAATAGCTGTCCACTCTAGTGACCACTATGCCTGAAAGGGTTAAAACCAAGAATAAATGTCAGAAATGTTTCTGAGTATTAAGACACGGTCTTGGTCCGGGTCTTTCTTAGAACTTCAAACTTCTCAGTCAGTGAGGAGTTGATCAGCAGCTTTACACTTTACAAGACACTTGACCACAAGGTCTGTTCAAATCCATACACTCGTACAACCAGAACAAATTCATGACATGATGGATTCATTATGATCCTCCTCCTGATGCTCACATCAACCACATCTGTATCAGTTATCAAATGTTCAGTCAGCTGATCTGTGACATGAGTTTGAAAAAACAGAAATGACAAAATAAATTGAGTCTAAATATCTAAGCATCATGTAAATGTATTAATGTTGTGTATAAACTTAATATGGAAACTTTTCATTTGTAGGTCAACCCTTGAGGTCTTTTCAGGTAATCCACAATCCAGGACCTTAAGCAGGGATCCACCCCCATCTTTGTCTTTAAGGATGGGGGTTTGGATGGTGTTAAATGCATTTGAAAAATCAAAGAACATAATCCTCATGTAACCACCAGGCTCATCCAAGTAGGAATGGGCCGGTGGAGCATGTGAAGGACGGCATCATCCAATCTAATATGTTCTTTGTGGGTGAACTGTAGGGGGTCTAGTGCATGTTCAACCTGTGGCCTCAGAAGGTGGAGAAGCAGCCGCTTCAGGGTCTTCATGATGTGTGATGTGAGGGCCACCGGTCTGTAGTCATTTATCTCAGCCAGTCGTCCTACTTTAGGGACCGGAACAACACATGATGTTTTCCACAGGACTGGGACCCTCCCTATTTGTAGGCTTAAGTTGAAGATCTTCTGGAGAGGCTCAGCCAGCTACACAGTCCTTTAACAGCCTTGGACACACACCATCTGGGCCTGTTGCCTTTCCAGGATGTAGCCTCTTGAGCTCCGCCCTCACCTGTTGTGAGTGCATCTTGTTGTTGTGCTGCATCTTCCTCTCTACTTTCTCCTTATCTCCAGATTCAGCCACTGAAGCAGCGGCATTAACACATTATGTGTAATTCTAAAAGGCACCACTAGGTGACAGCATCACACAACAAACCATGTTTCCTGCTCTTCCTCTTGGATGTTGAAAAAAAGGACCTGCAGGAAAGCCTGAAACCTGAGCTGTCAGACTCTGCAGGTCACACACAGATTCTCTTACAAACCCATGACTGGAGTCTCTAACCTCAATTCAGCTGGTGACTACGTTTCCCATAAACCACTTTTCTCACATGAAGATGACACTCAGAAGTGGAGTGACCTAGAGGTCATGTCATTAGCACCAGTTTGGCTTTTAAAAGCAAGACAAAGAAAACCAGCAACATAATACACTTTTAAGAACCAGTGTTTGATTTCACATTACAATATGTATTGATTCTGTTTATTTTCAATATTAAAGACTGGACTCATATTTACAAGACTCAGACTGGTCTGTAGTGTTGGTCTAGTCTTCATGGCTGACTCATTTTAACCCAAAAACATTAGAACATTAGACACCTTACCCCCAGACTAAGGCCTAAGACCAATGTTGCCATGGTAACAATCAATGACACCTGCGCTGACCAGTAGCACCCAACAACAAAAAACTGGACGTGGCTCATAATTTGTGGTTTGCTAACATGTTATGGAGAGAGCAAAGAGAAGGAAAGAGAATTTAGACCAAATCAGATTTTTCTTTTTATTGTTTCACTCTTCAAGTAAAACATCTTGTATTCTTTCTACATCTTCTGCTGAGGGTAAACTGAGTAATGTTTCCTTTGTCTGCCATTTTTTTTATTTTGAAAAAAGTCTGAATTTACTCAGAATTCATTGTACCACAGTCCAGATTAAGATACTAAACTGCTTTGTGCAACAGATGAATTTAGACTCAGTCTATCTGAAGTCTGACTGTTATTCCTAAAAGGCAAAGTCTGTCTTTGTGAAACTAGATCCAGAGATCTGCTGTGTTCCTCACTCATTAACAACTCTCTATAACCAATATGTGTGATTATTGCCAAAAAAAAGAAAGAAAAAAACATCCATCAATAGACTAAATCTAAATCATTCTTGATTATTCTGCTTCAGCTAATGTATTAGTGGTAGTAGTAGTTAGACAGAAAATAGAGCCTGTCTGCCTCTCTAGTTTATCATGAGAGAACTAGTTTGCTGGAAAAGTATCAGTGTATCAGGAGGAAGTGTAATAGATCAGATAATGATTCATGTTCTCTGTATCTGCTTTGCCTAATGTCCTCTGCTCTCTACAAGCAGCAGTTCTTAGAAAACCTGTCTGTCACCAGAGGTCTCACAGGTTTGATCTCAGTGACGTGTCCTGTTGGGATTAAACTCACGATCATTTTCTGATATGAGATATGAGACTGGATCACAACGAACATGCAGTTTATGATCATGTATAGATGTGATCATCACCTTAGTGCTAAATATGTCTATGACCATGAAATCGCAAAGGTTTTAAACATGTCTGCCTGATCCCCCATCATCACCCAGGTCTGAGGCTGAAACAGAGCACCCCCTTGTGGCTGTAGGTGCTCAGAAACATGGCGGTTAGACTCCACCTCAGAGACAACGCCGTCATGAATCCACACAGGGAGGAAACCTGATTGTTTCCTGCTTCCTTTGTGGTTCGTTCTCCCAAAGAGAATCAGTGAAGTGAATGAACAATATGGAGGAGTCATTCCTCTGTGTTGTGGTTTTATCTTTTGTATCAGCACCTGCTACATCCTTCAGTAGGTCCTGACAGCACAGAGAACCCTTTGATTTGATTTTCACACAGCAAAACTACTGTGGGTCTCAATGCCACTGATTAAACTGAAGAGTTGTCCAGGTTATTGAAGATGACTGTGAGTCTTAATTTATTTATTTATAACACGTTTCAAAACCAGGGTTAGAACAATGCAAATGAAAACAAACAATAACTAGAGAACATGTGGACACATGTTAAAGCTCTGACCCCTGAGTGCTCAGTAGTTATTACTACATTATTATACCAGTACTCATGTGTCAGACACCCAGGCCTTCAGTTTGATCTCAACCACACACACTATAAAGTTTTTTGGCTGAATATCAGACGGTTGTGACGTTATCATCAGAATCACAATCTGGTTCATCATCACGTAGGTTTTCAACATTCAAGGAATTTGTTTTGGTGCATGACAATAAACATAATAATAATCATTCAGAGCATCCAGCTCCAGGTTGTTCTGCCTGCGCCAGGTCACCAGATGGTCAATCTCCCACCTGTAGGCAGACTTACCCCCATCAGAGATGAGTCCAGTGAGGGTGGTCTCGTCCGTGAACTTCAGGAGCTTGACAGACTGATGGAGGTGCAGCTGTTAGAGGGAGAAGAGCAGAGGAGAAAGGACAGAGCCCTGGGGGTCTGATGGTCCAGCAGTCAGAGACGTATTTCCCCAGCTTCGCATGCTGCTTCCTGTCAGACAGGAAGTCAGAGATCCACCTGCAGGTGGAGTCAGGTACGCTCAGCTGGGAGAAATAGTCCTGCAGCAGGGCCGGGATGATGGTGTTGAAGGCAGAGCTGAAGTCCAGAGGAGTCTCAAGGTGCCGGAGGATGAAGTGGAAAAAATCTGTCCACGGACAGACATTAAAAGTAAAATTGCTAAAGTCATCAAAACCATCTCTGTGGTAGTTTGTGTTGTCTCCAGTGCCACATTGTGCCATGATGACACACACACACACACATACACACACACACTCACAAGGTGAAAACAACCAGCCCTGCTCTGGTTGGTAACAAGTCTACAGGTCATGTACCAGCTCTATGAGGCTTTACTTAGGTACAGCTGTGATATGAGCTAAATGCTAATATGAATGTAAATGTGCAGCAGGTAAGAGCAACTAAAGGTAAAAAAGTTGTACAGAAACAAAATCATGTTTCTTTTATGCCAGTTGAA